TATAGTTTCATCAAGAAACTAAAAATGTGTTATAAAAGATGGAAGTAGGATACTTGTGTGTAGACCCCCGTATATTGATATCAAAATGAACATAGTTTCAATCTTCAATCAAAAAATAAATGAGCGTACATCAGTCAGTCGCTGGAGGCTTATAAAGGTGCGTTTCCAGTACTATGTGTAACGAACACAGATTACGGAAAAAAAAACTCTGTATATTGTTTCAACTTTTTTTATTTATTAATTGAAGCTGCCATAAAACTTTATACTTGAAATGGGATCAGGAAAGATTCCATCAAATCTTTTTCAAGCATTAGTTACTACTAAAATCGTATAAAATAAAGTATATATTGTATTTTCCTAGCAAGTTGAACGAATATTCATCTGAAAATATTATTAATAAAATTGCCAAACTCATTGAAAAATTACTGATTTGAATATATATTTCAGCACACTATAACGTTAACTATTAATTACTGAACCATTTTGCTGCTTTATATACACCAAGGTTGAAAAGAAGTAGAGGGAAAGAAAAAACTGTTGAAATCCCTCCAGACGTTGCAGGAGTTGTAGTTGCTGTAGTAGTAGTAGTAGTAGTTGTAGTAGTGGATGCTACGCATGCCGCTTCCGAGGCTTCATATCCAGATTTACATGCACATTTTCCTGTTGACGTGTTGCATTCCGAGTTGGCGTCACCATTGGTTGTGCAGTCGGAGGTCGCTGCACATTCTCTCTCAACACAAGCTGTTGCCCCAGGGATCTGATTTACTGGACAGGCGCACTGTGATGATACGCAGTAGAGAGTGCCGGATCCACAAGTAGATGTGATTGTAGCTGTTGTGCAAGTTTTGGGTGTACACGATCCAGATGTAGTGTCGGTATCGGAAAGAAATCCACAGGTGCATCCGGCGGTTCCAGTTGTAGCACAATAAGAATGAGCTTCGTGGATAAAACAATCTCTGTCACCATTGGCGCAGGTACGACGTTCACAGGCAGTGTGTGACGTATCAACAAAGTTATCTTTGCAGTTGCAAACGGCGGTACTGGGAGCCGTATTGCAGTAACTCTCGGAATCTGAGCCGGTGCAGTCACTATTACCACCCGCACATGTCCTTGCTGTGCAGTCAGTATCCGGGGAAGCAGGCTGTAAAATTAGACATAAAAAATAAATTAATTCTGTATCTTGTAATTTCATTTGCAAAATAGTTTTGGTATCAACTGAATCTAATGCCAGCTAACACTATAGCTATTTCTATGGGTTTGACATGAAGTTGTGTTGGAAAATCTGTTGTACATCACTTTAATACAAAAATCGAAAACATAATATGTTAAATAGCTCTTCAGTTTGCAATCTGTACGATAAAAGATTCTCCGGTGATAAGATTACTCCAGTTTTGGTATTACTCGAGGTGAATGAAAATAAATTATATATTTTAGTATATCTTGAATTTTATTGTTTAAGCCGAGTCTATAAGCAAAAGCTTACATACATATTTTGATAATTTGAGTGCTCAAGTACTTTTTGAAAATTCTTACCATATAATTGACATTACACACGCAAAGTGGAGTAGGAGTAGTAGTATCACACGTATCTGCGTTTGGTTCGTCTGAACATGTACCACCTGCGCCTGAGCAAGTTCCGGTCAATGCACTCAGACCTGTTATTAAAAAAACTTGCCTTGTCGTCTGGTTCCTAATTTTATTGTTAATTTAATACGTTATCGACCTATATTTTAGACGTTGTTTCGATTTCACGATTCAGTTAAAATGATAGGATTGTTTTAGAAATATTTCTGCATCTACTATTTTAATCCAAATTTTTAGAGTAAATAAATATAGTTTGATAAAGAAGAGATTGAAAACAAAATTGTCTCAAAAACCGACGTTTTTATAAATTTATCTAGTGTAAATTGATAACTATACTTCACCTCCTCTTGTCATGAACAAAACACACAGCATAGAAACCAGAACCCTCATTTTGATTGTTGTTACGATTGATGAATATTTGAATGTTCGTCGATTTATGCTGTAATATTTGGAACAGAAATTTAGTATTATGGATTATTAACAAAGAAATTCCCCGTCCTGTCTCCCTCACGAAAATTTCGACGAAGCCTATTTCTATCATATCCCCGCGCGATTAACTTTTTAAAATTACTTTGATAAATAATTAGTTGTCAGGGTTAGTTCATTTATTTATGTTTATAATAATAACAAATTAATAGCATTTATTTTGGATGTTTCAGAATTCATCTTCGACCAAGGCATTGGCTATCATGCTATGGCGAACAGAATCTTTCTAACTCGGCATTGCCCTACCATGTTATTAAAACAGTAAATATATTTATTGCCTTAATGTTTAATTTTTTTTAAGATTATAAAAACAAAAATAATCCAGATGTAACGAGTCGCGTAAACTGCCGGTTCATAATCGGCGGCAAAAAACACAGTCATACAATGGAAATGTTCATGTCAACTTCATTTTTCGTCTGATGAAATTACGGTAGATAAATATCCTATATATTGTTTACATAAAAAGCATATGTTTATAAATCAATTAAATTGGATTCCCAAACAAAAATCCGTTTCAAAACCGGTTCGCTTACAGTTTACACTATGTATCTACAAATTCCAACTTTCTTAAGACGACATCATATGACTATTCCTGCATTGAGTATGGTTCAAGTTGTCATTGCTCATTGAATATATTCAAGACATATTGGGATACGAATAACTATACGAATTTTAGCGTGAGAACGACGAACGGTAAGAAAGTATGTTGATTGAAAAAATTATTAGACTCACCCAATCTCGCAATGTTATTCAACAGGTAAATATCTTCAACCGAATGCTTCATTTGATGATAGTTTGCAGTTTTTATACTGAATCCCCGCAGAAAAAGATTCCTTTGGATGAATGAAAGAGAATACTATTTGTTTGGGGACTAGCGACTTTCGCTTATAACAAAAGCACTCTTTCCGATATGTTAACCCGTTTGGTTGCAATACCTAATTTACATATCGTCAACGACATTTTCGTCTTTTGATTAAGGGCAATGAATTCTCTCATATTATTACCACAAGCCATATCAACCAAGTCCGTGTAACTTTTGGGGTTTTCAGTATTTTAGCATCATATATTTATACAATTCACAGTTTGTTAAAATATTCATATTAGGTCGAACGTTTATGCATAAAATAATACTATCGCATAATATCAAATGAGATTAATTGTTTCACAATATCGCTTCAAAATGGCGACGTTCACACGAACGAAGTTGTTACTAAACAAGGATTCCATTAACTCTCCTTCGAGAAGATTAAATTTAATGTAAGGGTTTTTGACAGTTGTTTCATGTGCTACGGGTCGTTATTCGGTTGCCATTCAACTTTCAGCTTCAGAATACCGAGTCTGTAATGGAATATTGTAATGGTTAGCAGATGAACACGATACGCGCGATAATACTTGTTCGATGCTAGTCCTTTTATGAAATACCACTTACGACTGTTGTTATTCAAATGAGATAACGGTCGTAGGGAAAAATAAATGAAACGCTGGGATTTAGGTGGGTGCGATATTATGTTGTACTGAAATGCTGAATTTCCTTTCAACATTTAGTGTGTTAGAATGGAGTATTTATTAATATAATTTACACTTCTGTATCTCGTATGTTCTTTTTTTATCGTAATATATATGGAGCTCCCGGAGTATGTGTACCAAGATGACGCACAACCTGAACATAGTATGTGTACCAGGTGAAGGTTCAGGTTGCGCGCCACCTTGATACACATACTTCGGGAGCGCCATATAAGTATGCCTTTTTGCAAGCTATTTTGTACACACTTTGACCTCATACTTTGAAATAAAATGTTGACGTGAGCATCTCAGCATCTGACGTAAGTTTGTTTTTTGGATCATTATAATATAAAACTCTGTCAAAAATCACGTTTAGCACACATTTGAAACAACATATGAGTGTCCTCTATGGTGAGCGTACAAGCTATGGTGAGCTAGAAATTTCCAAGCGCATGCGACAGTCACCATACCTTTCCAACTAGTCACTGCTTCACTGCTGCTCTACGTATCATGTGATACGAAATCCCAGCCTATGTTCCCTTTTGCTATCTGATGGATCTAATGCATTTGATCCAAGAGACTTTGTTTTAAGCCAATATTATAGAAGAGTTGGCGTATTTTAGCTACAAATCATATGCTGCTGAACTTAAATCTGATATTTCTTCTGGGGTGGATGGCTATGTTGAGTTTCGTTTGATTCAAGACCAGCACTGGCAATCGCTGTCCAGTTGACTTCATATAGAGAAACTTGCAATATGAAAAGTAGTTGTTGTTAATGTTTTTAAAATTTTTATTCTTGAAATTATTTGAATACGTTAGTTAAAATGTAACGTTCTCTTAAGTGTCCAGTACTAGTATCGGAGTATGCGCCGGTTAATTTTTTTCAAACTTTCTGATTGAAGCTGAAATTCATAATGGGCAGTTAAGTAAAATTTCTGTAGCAAAATTTTCTGCGGTACAAACTTTCTACGCAAATTTTTTTCAACGGAGTGAAAATTTCAAGCGATACCAACTAATATTTTCTATTTTTCGTAGACTATTATCTAAATTGTATGGATTTGAAGTTGCAGTCAACTTTATTTTACACGGCGTGCAATCTTTGAGATAATAAACATTCGAATGTAGCAAGTAGAGTCGAGTTTTGAATAATTCGTAGAAGTATAGAAGTTCCAGACACTTCTTGGAATCTATCTGTAAGCAACACCGGGGGGAAATTTACGAGTAAACTTTTCAATCTGAAAAGAATATTCTACTTCAGACTCTCGTTTTGCAATAAGCGTTAGCTAATAAGCAAAAGTTCTGCATTTTTACTTTGTGAATTCGTCTCACCGCAAAATCTCAACATAAAAGTTGTTAACTTTGATATTGGCTGCGTATTTATTTTTTTCATAAACTAGATTACGGAAAAAAAACTCTGTATATTGTTTCAACTTTTTTTTTTTATTAATTGAAGCTGCCATAAAACTTTATACTTGAAATGGGATCAGGAAAGATTCCATCAAATCTTTTCCAAGCATTAGTTACTACTAAAATCGTATAAAATAAAGTATATATTGTATTTTCCTAGCAAGTTGAACGAATATTCATCTGAAAATATTATTAATAAAATTGCCAAACTCATTGAAAAATTACTGATTTGAATATATATTTCAGCACGCTGTAACGTTAATTATCAATTACTGAACCATTTTGCTGCTTTATATACACCAAGGTTGAAAAGAAGTAGAGGGAAAGAAAAAGCTGTCGAAATTCCTCCACACGTTGCAGTAGTTGTAGTTGCTGTAGTAGTAGTAGTTGTAGTAGTGGATGCTACGCATGCTGCTTCCGAGGCTTCATAACCAGATTTACATGCACATTTCCCTGTTGAGGTGTTGCATTCCGAATTGGCGTCACCATTAGTTGTGCAGTCGGAGGTCGCTGCACATGTTCTGTCAACACAAGCTGTTGCCCCAGCGATCTGATTTGCTGGGCATGCGCACACTGATGATACACAGTAGAGAGTGCCGGATCCACAAGCAGATGCGATTGTTGATGTTGTGCATGCTTTGGCTGTACACGATCCAGATGAGCCGTCGGTAGTGGAAAGAAATCCACAGGTGCATCCGATGGTTCCAGATGAAGAACAATATGAATTAGCTTCGTTTACAACACAATCTCTGTCACCATTGGCGCAGGTTCGACGTACACAGGCAGCGTTTGACGTATCGACAAAGTTTGCCTTGCAGTTGCAAACGTCGGTCGCGGGAGCCGTATTGCAGTAACTGTTGGTATCGGAAGGGGTGCAGTCACCATCACCACTAGCGCATGTCCTTGCTGTGCAGTCAGTATTCGGGGTAGCAGGCTGTAAAATTAATCATGAAAAATAAATCAATTCTGTATCTTGTAACTTCATTTGCGAGATAGTTTTGGTATCAACTCGAACTAATGCCAGCTAACACGATGATTATTTCTAGGCGTTTTAACGGAAACAAATTTTAAATAGCTCTTCAGTTTGCAATCTGCATGATAAAAGATTCTCCGGTGATAAGCTTACTTCAGTTTTGGTTTTACTCGAGGTGAATAAAAATAAATTATATATTTTAATATATCTTGAATTTTTTAGTTTTAATCGAATACTTATTCTTTATCCTTACCATATAATTGACATTACACACGCAAAGTGGAGGAGTAGAAGAGTCGCACAAAGCTGCGTTTGGTTCGCCTGTACATGTACCACCTGCGCCTGAGCAAGTTCCGTCCAATTGACTTAGACCTATTAGTTACAAAAAAATGCCGTCTTTTTTTATGAATTTATTGTTAATTCGTTATTTTTCAAATTAAAATTTACTACACGATCTGCCAACCGAATCTTTTGACTGCAGACTGAAGTACAAAATTGTTTGAAAACATTTTAATTTTACTCAAATATTTTTTTCATAAATGATTCGTACCAGATTGAATTTTACGACTCAATTATTTTAGGTTTGTGTTTATTTTGGCATTTTGTCTACATCTGCTATTTTAAAAACTTGTTCAATATTTTGAATCAATAAATGTAGTTTATAAAGGAGAAAACAGGTCAGATGAAATTTTTGCAATCTCATTTACATAAAAAATATTTTTATAAATGAATTTAGTGTAAACTAGGTACGAGAATTTTTTTTAAATATTGAAATACTTCACCTCCTCTTGCCATGAGCAAAACACACACGATTGAAATCAAAATCTTCATTCTCTTCGTTTTCGTTTTATTTCTGGATTAAAATTACTCGAGTGCTAGCTGGTTTATTCTGCAAGTACTAAATTTAAAATATGTATTAAACTTAAATTGAGTTTTAAAAATTATAAACCTTGAATAGTGATTTTTTGGGGGGATTGCGGGTACTTTATGGAAAAACCTTATGGCAGCTAATATTTGCATCTCTTAGTTAGTAATAAAACTTTTTTCATATTTTATGTCGGTTTAAAAATGCCCTCTGAATTGGATATATTGTTGTTAAATTTTTCAGATGACAAATAAACGTTTATCAGCGGTTTCCAAGCATTTCATACGCAATCTCTTCATAATGGTTTTAAATAGCTCTACTGTTCCGAAAAGATCAACAATTGATAAGTCAGTATTAGCAAATATGACATTGTTATCTATGACTTGGGCAATATACCAATTGAATCTTACTAGAGAACCTCTGCACCACAACATAATACAAAACTATAGTTATGTTCCATCGGCTCGCTATGTCTGTTGTACTATAGTCTTACAAATATGGTACGGTTCGCAACCGTTATATATACTCATATTCGCGTTGATAAATATGGTAAAAAAATTGTGATTCCTATTCCCTTCTAATGTTTTTCTTATTTTTTCGTGCGTTTTCAACCGTTATATATACTCGTATTCGCGTTAATAACTATGGTAGAAAAAGATTATTATTCTTATTCCCTTAGAATGTTTCTCTTATTTTTTCGTGTGTTTCGCGTGACAACGTAGACGGATTCGCACTACTGGATATTTGGATTGCACGAAATGCCCCGTTGAAAAGCGCACCTTGACAGCACAAACCTGATTTTAATTTTCTTCAAATCCTTCTTGGAGATCCCTTGAATGTGTTACCCATGTTTCAAAAAGTGTTTAAAGACCTTGTATCAAGTTGGCATGGAAATCTAAAAGGATACACAAGGTATCAACATAACATGAGCGATGCTGAAAAAAATTCAATTTGTTATTTTTTCCCATTCACCTAAAATTAATCCACGAAATATTGTTACCATATTCATGCTGGTGTTAGAGCCTGAATATGCTTAGCTGAAATTATTAGGTTCTATTGTGATCGAATGTGAAATCTGATAACAGGTATATTGGAGGCCTTTCCACTCACCAGTCCTTTTTCCTGTCAAGTTCAATCGCTCTGAAATATACTATTAGATTTTTATGTTTTGAAAATTACGTGTGGTAGGTACAATGTGTTTTCAATTGAAAAATAAGAGCATTCATTTCTCTTACCAGTTGGAGAAACGGTATGCTTGTCTCTTGTTGTGTTATTTATTCTTAGTATCTTGGCTGCCATAGAAAACTTCTATAGAAAACATAGGCGGATAGTGACGACCGTTAGTATAAAAATAATATATATATGCACAATAGTCTAGTAGCTATGGGATACACATCAACTTAAATTATATTTCAGAATATATCGGCCAATAGAATTCTAAAATTAGGTTTCAATATTCTACTTATTTTTATTTATAATATCTAAGTTACGGAAATGTTAATCATAAAAGTTGAGAAAAATTGTTGAAGATAATTTCAGAAAAAATATTACCTTGTTAATATTTACAAAACTAAAACAAGAAGTAATAGTTTTATCGTAGCTGGATCATTTTTTAAATTTGGTCTCAGTATGATGATCCCTCGCTGTTGGTACAATATATCATTTTTTTTAAATTCCCAAACAAGAAGTTTTCTAGAAGTTTTAGTCTGAGCTTAGTTGGAAATTATTAGAAAAAAACTTAAATGTTATTCCCAAATAACATTCGTATGTCCTTCTCCGTTTAAGGCTTTATCTTGAACATAATTAAATATATTGCAATTAGATTTTAACGCAGTCGTGCTAATGGGTAAGGCTGGTCATGAAGTCCGCTATTCGAATGTGTTTTCTTTACTTCTATATTGCGCAAAGCACGGCAATTGGAAAGCATAAGGGCGAGATGTTCCTTTTATCCCATGGTTACACCAGTTTGTCGAACAATGATTCACTCGTCCAAGCATGAAGAATATTATAATTTAGATTTGGAAGTTGTTTTTAAGTAGAGAAATAATTTTGTTAACAAACTATGGATTTTTATAACATTGTTGACGACGTTACGGCGGGGCTTATACGACTTTACTTTCGTTTATCCGGCAGATTTTCTCTATGAATAAAATGTTTTACTCAATAGTTGAAAAACGACATTTATCCGCTTGAATTGATTTCAAAGGAGAAAATTAACAAGTAATGTTGTCTATGAAATTCATGTAATCGTATCATGCCTCATAGTGTGTTGAACGCGAACTTTGATTTCAAATATAAATTTATAGCTTATGCATATGGTTTTATCCAGAGATTTTTTATTTTCATTTACTGCCTGTGTGTATGAATATTCTATGTATCGTAATGATAAGATATATATAGTTAGAGTGGAAATCGAATGAAACCCATGTCGTTGGATGATTATTTAACAAAACAAATGTATGCGTTATGTATGGTATGGCGCCGGTCACTTGTACAGGTCTTTGGACTCGTAGGTGAAGCGATAACATGGATAAGGGTGGGTGTACAAAACTGGTCGTACAGGCGAATCCATGGGAAAAGTCAACATATGAAAATAAATACAATATACCCTCATTTACAGAGAAATATTCACCTAACGTGACTTTGAATGGGAGGAAGATTTGCGCTTTGAAAGCGGTCGTGTAGTACAGGCAGTTGTTCGCTGCAAGGTTTTATGCTTACAAATCCAGTTTTATTGCGCTCGGCGGTCCAAATAATTTGTAGAAGTCAATTTTTCATTTTTTTACGTTTGAAATATTATTCCATGTATATTAATCAAAAAAATTACCGCCGAGCTTCGGCGCGTCGACGTAACCTTTAAAGTCCGAACCTTTATGAATTTACTGTATAGTTTCATCAAGAAACTAAAAATGTGTTATAAAAGATGGAAGTAGGATACTTGTGTGTAGACCCCCGTATATTGATATCAAAATGAACATAGTTTCAATCTTCAATCAAAAAATAAATGAGCGTACATCAGTCAGTCGCTGGAGGCTTCTAAAGGTGCGTTTCCAGTACTATGTGTAACGAACAATGACCCATGCATTAATTGTCTTCTATACTGCTGAAATCTGCTAAAATCATGAAACTTCGAAGTTGTGCAAAAATATCTTTTCTGGTCATTAAAAAGAATTTTTATATTTTATCCTGATTGAGATATCATTTCAATTTTGTTGTTCCACCTAGCGATCTACTGATATTGACAAAGATATTGCCAAAATGGGCATATAACGATTTCTAATATTTGATAGTGGTCAATCTTTCATGATAAAAAAATCTGACGTGACGTGGAATAATGACTTTAAGTTTAATCTCACATATCGGTCATGAAAAAAAAGAGTTGAAAAAACATTAACAATGGTTGAAAAGTTGAAATAAAAAAGTCATAAAAAATTCATCTGATATTTTTCAAAATTAAATCTTTTTTTTTGTTAACCAGATTTACTGATAAAAATTGACGAAATGAATTCAGTGATATTTCTCTGCGTTCTCAACCTAACGTTCGTAACGTTCAACCAGTCGGTGTAGAATTGAATTAATAATAACAAAAGATACGAGTCGACTTATCCTGAGCCATATATGGGACAATGTAAAATATTCCTCGATCATTCGGAGATAAGGAACTCATTCAAAACTAATCTCACACTCGTTGAATCATTTTGAATCTACTCGCTGTTTCCTATCCGATTTTCGATCAATCAAGTTAATAGTCAATAAAACACCATTCTTTTCACAATTTTTTAATTCATAGTATAGTATTTTATTTCGAAAATTTCTTAGGATTCTTTGGTCTTCGCAGTAATATCTTGTTTTGTCTGAAGAATTCAATATAATATATTTCAAAGTATAAATATTGTACTTGCTATTTTGTGGAAAGAAATTATGTTATTCTTATCTAAAATCGTTAGGTGGTTTATTAAACAAAATATTGTTTGAATGCAAAATTTCGGTAGGATATTGTGTATTTATTGACATTGAAAAAAAAAAAAAAATTCAAACTAGCTTAAACACGAACTCGTGTAACATACAATAAATTTGAAAGTGAAATGTGTTTCTTCTAATCTGCAGCTCAATTGGCCGACAGCTCGAGTGACCTATTCATGTATGAACTGAGTAATATCAACGTTTCATTTTCTATTTCTTTTTGTCAATAAATAAATTAATTAGTACCCGATTAATAATTATAATCAAAAAGTAGTTATATACAAAAAGTAGGCGATTCTTTTTGTAGACTGTATAATGAATGGTCTGTTTTCAATCATAAGTAAATAAGAACAATATAGGGGTCAGCTGAGTACAGTACCGTTAAATATCCTAATTAGATATAAATTGCGATTGCCAAATTTGGAACACTTCATATAGATTGATTGAAAATTTGTAAAATATTTATTTAAGCGAAAATAAATACTAATAGCGTCAACTAAAAGAAAACAATATACAATCAAGCCGATATAAATTAACCATTACGTTCGGATTTTGAGGTCGGTTCGGAGGTTAAATTCACCTGATCAGTCAAAGGGTGACCGTACAGTTGAACCCACGTACATTTGAACCCATGCGTATATCCACGGGTTCAATCTATATGCGGGTGCTAAAACCCATGGGTTAGGGTTAGTATGGGTTTAACTATCCGTGAAACAAAAAAAATTCCATAGGTGCAATTGTCATGGGTTCAAATGTACGTGGGTTCAAATGTAATGGAACCCAGTCAAACAGTATTCATGAAATCTTCACTTTTCATCTGTATGTAGCGGGATGAATAAAGTTTATAGATACGTTCCTGTAACGTGATTTCAAAAAATTTGCTAGCTTACTAATTCATAGACTTTTAATGGAAACTCAATGGAAATAGTAGAACTGATTATTAGGCGAGATAATTTTAAATGTTGGATACTGAAGTTTAGTGTTACGATTTGTATTTTAATGTTTCACGTATATTTTACGTTAATAGAGGTGCGGGGAAATATAAATCGTATATGGCATAATAAAGAAAGATATAA